AGCCCAGCCCACGTAAACTGTCATCGGGGGGAGCCTCGCTGCGGGGAAACCTAGTGGACCTAGTGTCCCGATCGGAGTGGGAATAATAATAATAATAATAATAATAATAATAATAATCCGTGCATTTTATCCATTAATTTCCCCACATTGTGGTAAAAAAAAACACACGTTTAATCCATGTTGGTGTACTACAACTACAAAAAGCATCGGTTTGTTTTCTCATCAGGAAATGCAGACCGGCTCAAACAAACGATTTTTAATCATCATCCTCACGATCATTTAATGTATCATATGTTCGCATGAAAGCACTAATAAATGTANTGTGCTAGTGACTTATCCGACCGGCCCACTTCGGTACCGGCCCATCGGGATTCGTCCCGATGGCCAGTCCGCCACTGCACCCAGCCCAGCCCACGTAAACTGTCAACGGGGGGAGCATCGCTGCGGGGAAACGATGGACCTAGTGTCCCGATCGGAGTGGGAATAATAATAATAATAATCCGTGCATTTTATCCCTTAATTTCCCCACATTGTGGTAAAAAAAAAACACGTTTAATCCATGTTGGTGTACTACACTGACTACAACTACAAAAGGCATCGGTTTGTTTTCTCATCAGGAAATGCAGACCGGCTCAAACAAACGATTTTTAAATCATCATCCTCACGATCATTTAATGTATCATATGTTCGCCGAATTGACATGAAAGCACTAATAAATGTAGTTTAATCCACTTGAGTTTACAACTACAAAAATAATCTATTTGTTTTTGTATCACATCCGACGGGAGGAAATTCAGCAGCTCACTACCGACTTGTAATCCTAAATTAATCATCATCTTCACCACGATCATGTATGTTTATGTTCCGCGAATGGACATGAAAGCACTGAGAAATATGAATATACTGTAGTCAACTTCATTAAAACGCTATTAACGTGCCTAAACTCAGTAATTCACCATTTCTACGCATGACAACACACTTTGTCCGTGTTTGGCTCTCTCGCCGCACAGTGAAGCGTTCCCGCATTGACGTCACTTCCGGCTTCCGGTTGAGATAGTGAAGCATTCCTCTGACTTCTCAAACTGCACATCTCCCTCTTTATTCAGAAACACTGCACAACATTTTTACAATAATTCGTCAATTATTTTTTTATTATTTTGTTACCTGTACACGTTTATTTCTTTTTGAATTCCTCTTACTGTGTACGCACCAATACACCAAAGCAAATGTTACTGAATGTGTACAAAAATGTTTAATAAACCCAGATATTATAAATAAGATATTACAAATATTTGTTGTTTTGTAAATGTTTCTTTAAAAAAATATAAGTTTCCTGTCTTTTGTCATCGTTTCTCACAATGAAAAACAGTCTGCAGGAATAACGACGTTAGAGTGTGTGTGTGCGTGTGTGTGTGTGTGTGTGTGTGTGTGCTGCAGTACCTCGGTAAGAGGAGGCGGGGTCACGCAGGCCGTCAACTGGAAGTCTGAGGAGAGAGGTCATATGATGTCATTGCTTCTTCTTCTGCGCTTCTAATCAATGTCAATATAAACACACACACACACACACACACACACACACACACACACACACACACACACACACACACACACACACACACGATGTTATCTTATTATTTCATTATAAGTAGTTATGCTTTCCTGCTGTTATTATTTGTCTTGATTTTATAAATAGACTTTTTATAGTCAAAGATTATGGAACATTTAGGTCAATAAAGTATTGGTTTATGAATACTGAACATTAGTGTTGGATTGGACCGGTCTGCGACCTTCTGACCTTCTGGCTCACACACTGTGGAGAGACCCAGAAACCCCGTTTTTATTATTAAATCAGATGAATCTATTTTGAGTATTTCCTCCTGAGAGCTGGATGATAAGCAGCTGCTCGACCTTCCTCCTCCTGATGAACACTGGAGGTCAAATGGCACTCCACAGTTTGATGCACAAAACAGAAATGCAAACGTAAAACAAACTCATAGGGACTTTCTTTGAGAGGAAAGAGGCTGGACTAAAAGACCCGTTTTTATGCTGCTTTTTCAAGAGCTCCAACACGCCTGAAGTCCTTACAGAAAAGCGTCACTTTAGTAATCTTTTCTGGTTTTCTTCACATTAAACAGATATAATGAGCAACTCAAAGCCTTTTCTTAACAGCAGGGATATACTCTTTGAATCGGCATGTAAACATTGGACCAACGAGCTCTGAATTTGAGGAAATCTCGACTTTTCCAAGAGCCTCGCGGCGCTCAGCAGGGAGGACCGTGCATCTGCTGCTGATCATGGGTTGTAAAAGTGGACGTTTTACTAAAATAAACTTGTGTTTTCTGTTACAATGTGTACGCCGAATCAATGAAGGGATGCTTTTCAACATGCAAAACTACTCAGTTGTATTCAAACATTTGCATAATTTAGCAAACTTCACAAAAAGGTTTTAAATTGCGGTTTTCGCTCTTCTCACCGTGCAGTCGTGATGTGATCATGGGTGGTAAAAGTGGACGTTTTGATCAAATAAACGGACTATTTCTGGTACCATGTATACACCGAATCAACGATGAGATGCTAGCTTACATGCAACACTACTCCGATATATTTAAATATGTGTATAATTCAAAACATTTCACAATAAGGTTTCAAATTAGCTTTTTTCAAAGGGTTTCGCACTTAACGTGAAGATGTGTAAAAGTGGACGTTTTACTAAATTAAACTGACTCTTTCTGATACAATAAGTAAGCCGAATTAACGAAGAGATGCTTTTCAACATGCAAAACTACTCAGATATATTTAAATATTTCTATAGCTTAAACCATTTCAACAAAATATTTTAAATGAGATTTTTTTTCAAAAGCGTTTCGCTCTTCTCAACGTGAAGATGTGTTGTGATCATGGGTTGTAAAAGTGTTTACTCAAATAAACTTATATTTTCTGGAGCAATCTGCACGCCGAATGAACTCAAAGATGCTAATTAATATGCAAAACTACTCAGATATATTTAAATATGTGTACTTTCAGCAGGAACGTGTTTCTAATGAACAACAGTGAGGCAGCAATGCAGCAGATTTCACAACACGGTATTACAGTGTTTCCTTCAGAGGGTTTCTCACCGCGGAACGCAGCTCTACTGATCCGGGAAACAGCTCCTCAGCACCGGGGAGGATTCCTCCGGTTCCCCCGGTGGGTCCATTGACCGGTAACGGGCAGATGTTTCTGTTTACTGACCGGAGAGGGAAGCGGTTTTCCGGGTTAACATCCCGGTACCGGCGGAGGTGCAGCAGCTCCGGTCTCTGGTTCTTTTTATTCCTCTTCTTTCTCTTCTGCAGCTTTTCTCGGTGTTTTTCTGGCGGCTGGTTGACATTAGTTTACGTTCTCCACGGTGACTTCAACTTCCGCATCGCTGAGGGGACGTCACGGGGACGTAAGACGACGTCAGAGAGGAACGACCGGAAGAACATTTTTTTAATAAAAAATATATAACAGTTTAATTTAAAAAAGGATAAATAAAAAAAATAAAAAGTATTTAAAAAAATGTATTTGTTATTATTTGTAATATTCTTATTTTAATTCTGCATCCTTTTTCTGTGTTATTTTGTTGCCTGGTTATCATTAGTTTACCCCTGGTGACGTAACCCTAACAGTGACGTAAGGTGACGCAACACAGGACCGACCGATGAAAAAAAATAAACAAGCTTAGAAATATATACACACACACACACCCACAACACGGTCACTGAGGTCTGCTGAGAACTAATTGCCCCTCCAGGTTAGACTTGCTCCAACTCTGCCTGTTTTTAAATCTCGTTTAAAAACCCACTTCTTTTCCCTGGCATTTACAGGCCAGGTGACCCTTGTGTTTTTACATTTTGGTTTTTATCTTCCTAGTGTTTTGCATTGTTTTTACGTCGGAGAGTTTCTCAGTCTGTGGCTTCTGATCTGGTTTCATTGTCTCGTGTTTTACATTTGTTTCATGTCCTGTCTGTTTTTCATTTATTTATTCTATGTTTTTATACAGTTGATGATGTGTAACACTTTGTTCAACTCTGTTGTTTTTAAATGTGCTATAGAAATAAAATGGATTGGATATTTCAATATCCACATTAGAGGTGCAAACATTAACATCAAATCAGAATACCTTTACTTGTCCCATAGAGGGGACGTTTATTTTGTTACAGTAGGTAAAGAGACAAAGACAGCTTGTTATGAATTAAGAATCATCCATAAAACTATCAAGATAAAATTAGAAATTACACAATTTATAAAACACACATCCAGCAGCAGTATGAGACAGCAGGTGATGGGGGCTTGGACTGTGAGCCGTAGGGTCGCCGGTTCAAGTCCCCGACCAGACCTAAATATGGAGTGTGGACTGCTACTTGGAGAGATCCAAGTTCACCTCCTGCCCTGCCGTGGTGCCCTTGAGCAAGGCACCGGACATCCCCCTTCCCCCCTCACTCCCATTGCTCCCCGGGCGCTGTACAATACCTGCCCACTGCTCATAGTACTAGACTCCTGGTGCTAGACTCCTGGTTCTAGACTCCTGGTACTAGACTCCTGGGTCTAGACTCCTGGTACTAGACTCCTGGGTCTAGACCCCTGGCGCTAGACTCCTGGGTCTAGACTCCTGGTGCTAGACTCCTGGCGCTAGACTCCTGGCGCTGGACTCCTGGCGCTAGATTCCTGGTGCTGGTCCTCAGATCGTGGTCCTCAGCTCTGGGTCCTCCAAGATCGCGGTCCCCGAGATCTGGAGTCTCAGATACATGGTCCTCAGATCTGGTCCTCAGATATCGCCGGTCCTCAGATCTTGGTCCTCAGATCGTGGTCCTCAGGGATCGTTGGGGTCCTCAGATCTGCGTCTCAGGATCCATGTCCTCAGGATCTTGGTCCTCAGTCTTTGGGTCCTCAGGTCATGGTCCTCAGATCTNGAAATACACCCTTCATATTTCTCCTTATTGTAATCAATGTGAGGCTTCTGCTTTAAGGGATGAGCTGCCAACACTCACATACTTTACCTACATTTGAGTTTTCTAACTTATAACTGAACGTATGAGGCAGTATACCTCTAGTGAGCGGCCCAGCCCTTCGTATATATTTTCCTGTATGTGGCCCTCGGTGAAAAAAGTTTGGACCCCCCTGCTTTAGACAATCAAGGCGGTGATGACTTACCACAGCAGTCTAGCATCAGCAGTCAGTCCAGCAATGGAGATGCCGATGTGGTTGTCGACATGCAGGATCTTCTTCTGATGGGCAGCCAGCTCAGACTGGGCTCTCTGCAGAGACATGAGGACATCAGGATCTAATACCCGTCCTTCAGATATTGCTTATAATCTGCGACATGCTTTATTGTGTGCTATAATACATTTAAATGTTCCATTACATGGCAGATATTGTACTTTTCTTTCATTGCTTGCTATGTTTCCAAATTAAAAAAGGGCAATAATTCCCATTGAAATACATTTTGGCTGGAAATATAATAAGGGGAAAACATTTTGTAGAAGGGAGTACTCTACATTACTATTGGACGTTATTGGAAATATTGACGGACAAGACATTGAATGAGTGTACCTTTAGTGCAACCAGGACAGCATGGGTTTTGGATTTGAGTCCTACAGTTGCAGAGCCTTGCTTCACAGCCTCCATGGCGTACTCGATCTGATGAATACGGCCCTGGATCGACATGAACATGAATCATTTTAATTAGACATTATTCCATGGCCTGTCAGTCATTCAGAGACATTTCATTCCTTTGAGGTTAAAGCAAGCAGGGACTCACCTGGGGGCTCCATACTGTCACGTCGTTGTCGTACTGATTGCGAAACTAAAAGATAAAAACAAGTTAAATAAATTAAAAGTCACATTTATAAAATAATAGAAAAAACAGACATGAGCTGAGCTTACATAGTTGCCTTGCATTATCAGCGGTTTACTCAGTTACACCCTATTCCTCACAGACTCTCACTTAGGACTACACATCCTCTGTGTCTCTTTCTAATGGACTCCAAGCTAAGACACACAGGGCTCTGTCTAGTCCACGGACTCTTTCAAATTCAGGTTTTAAATTACTAACACGACTGAATAGTTCATGAGCCCAGCTTTGTGTGTTACCAAGGACAACCATGCAAACAAATACAAGCATCAAACTAGTAGCCATTGCTGATGCATCTTTTAACAAATGCTTTAACTGCAACACAAAAACCCATTGCTCTACATAATTCCCCAAAACAGACAGTTTCACCTGTTTTAATACTCAAAACTCTTCTGCATAAACTTACACTAAAGTGTCCAGCTAAATAATTCATTGCACTTTGTTTGAGCAACCAAAAAACATCTGCTCCCAATGTAATGAACTCCTGTCATCACAACCTACTCAAAGACGACACCTTTCTCCAGGTGCACACACTAAGAAGTCAAATTCCTTGTATGTGTACAGGCACTATGGTACGTTTTATTTTACTAAATAGCATACATATACACACCCATACACACATAGCAGTATATCCTTCTCCACTACTGGAAGAAGTGACTCGGGGTGTTCTTAACAGGCTTATCAGAATAGATGGTGCCGGTGTTGTGTCAAATGATGCACCCCCGTCGTGAAATGCACCCCTTGACACGGGAACGCGCATTTTAACATATAGTCCGCTATTCTATGTTGTCTTTTTGATGGTTGGGTTGTCGAATCCTGGATTTTGCATTCATTCCTCACTTATTTTTCTTAATATATGTTTTTATTTAATTGTGACGTCCTGTCTGTATACTTGTGCTTTACAATGTATTTTTTACATCAAGTGCTTGAGGGTGGGATTAATAGAAACATTTTTATTTTGGGGGGTGCTTTTTATGAACAGCCTGGTTGCCACGATATGCACTCCTTGCTATTACATACATGAAACTTGCTCCATTTATTGGTACTAGTCCTACAACTATACCCTCCAAAGTGCTTGAGGGTGGGATTAATAGAAGCATCTTTTATATCGTGGCAACCAGGCTGTTCATAAAAAGCACCCCCCAAAATAAAAATGTTTCTATTAATCCCACCCTCAAGCACTTGATGTAAAAAATAAACAATACATTG